GATGTTACTCCCAGACTCTCGTAACTAATCGTGTCTCTTTCATTTATAATCGATGTTACTCCTAAACTCTCGTAACTAATCGTGTCTCTTTCATTTATAATCGATGTTACTCCTAAACTCTCGTAACTAATCGTGGTCTCTTTCATTTATAATCGATGTTACTCCTAAACTCTCGTAACCAATCGTGTCTCTTTCATTTATAATGGATGTTTCTCCCAGACTCTCGTAACCAATCGTGTCTCTTTCATTTATAAAGTTTTTTGTTGTTCACTAAACAAGCGTTGTTTCACTGTGTATAAATGATATCGTATTATATCTATAAACAGAATGTTAACAATATCTCACTTGATAAACAATACGTGAAACGTAAAGCGTTGTTTCATTGTTTAACTTATTACAATTTAGTGGAGAATGTTTTGGTTAGGTCTGAATAACGAACCTATTCAGTAACACCGAAACGAGTGGATTATGATGCCCGAGATGTATCTACTCACCACAGAGAATATACTTAACATAAATTCTGCCGATATCTCTTGTAAATTGTTTCTGATGGCACGTAAAATTCTCCGAAACCAGTTGAATTTTATGACAGAAAACGAATCGTAGAATAAACTGAGCCTGGCGTTTTTTTCTCGTTAAATCAATACTTTTAGGAAGATTATGTATAATAACCACTCATGTACACGTTTATATTCCTTTCTTCCATGTGTTACATTTAGGGCTACTGGAACGGTTACGACCCCAACGTGCACATGGGAATGTCCAGCGGTTTCCAGTCCGCTGCTTTCCGATTCGGGCATACTTTTATACAGGGAATGGTACGAAGGTACAACAAGTTTCATGAATTTGTGGGTAAGAACTGAATGTAGTTATTCTTAGACCTTAGTTATAGGAATTTGTGAAAAATACTGAGTTTTAATATCCTTGTTCACCATGCTAGTTTCTAGTTTCGTACGAACTGAAAACTGGTTGTTCCGTAAGCCGACCTAGGATAACCTTATCCGTTTAACCTTATCCGGCAGGTGAAGATCCTCTTAGAACTCTTCTACGTCAGCCTTACATCTTCTACGAACCCGGTAAGATTGATGAGCTCATCGGTGGCCTTATCAACACCCCTGCTCAAGTATACGACCCCTTTATAACCCAAGAGGTAAGCTTATCTGAGGATTGCTGTATCATAATATAACTATTAGCATGATTTTTACTTTTACAAAATTTCTTTGCAGTTCTAGAGCAAAAGTTTCCAAAAAAAGGTTCCTTGTTTCAAGTGCTCCTTACATATTTTATCTCTAGATAACGAATCACCTGTTTCAAGTGCTCCTTACATATTTTATCTCTAGGTAACGAATCGCCTGTTTCAAGTGCTCCTTACATATTTTATCTCTAGGTAACGAATCACCTGTTTCAAGTGCTCCTTATATATTGTTATCTCTAGGTAACGAATCACTTGTTTCAAGTGCTCCTTATATATTTTATCTCTAGGTAACGAATCACTTGTTTCAAGTGCCCCCTATGCCGTTTGGAATGGACTTAGTGGCCTTCAACCTGATGCGAGGACGCGAAACAGGAGTACCCGGATATAACTTCTACCGAGGATGGTGCGGTTTGGGAAGAGTCAAAACATTCGAGGAGTTGGAGCCACTGATGAACAACGGCACTGCCCTCAAGTTTGCTCAGGTGTACAAGTAAGGCTAAATTTCCAACATTTTATACAGCTTACTACATATATATTAGTAGTTCTGTGGCGTTGATATCCTTCAGAATGAATTGTTCATTCCTATCAACAAATAATCTAACAATTCCATAGGTGTCTGTTAATAACGGAACAGTTCCGTTGGTGTTAGCTAATGGATCAAACAGTTCCGTTGGTGTTAACTATTGATCAAACAGTTCCGTTGGTGTTAACTAATGGTCAAACAGTTCCGTTGGGGTTAACTAATGGTCAAACAGTTCCGTGGGTGTTAACTAATGGTCAAACAGTTTCGCGGGTGTTAACTAATGGTCAAACAGTTCCGTGGGTGTTAACTAATGGTCAAACAGTTCCGTTGGTGTTAACTAATGGTCAAACAGTTCCGTGGGTGTTAATTAATGATCGAACAGTTCCC